ACAGAAGCAATATTGCATTAATCAGAATGTCTGCACAAGCAGGAATCACTAGGTGGTACAAATAGTTGACCTGCTTGGTTGCTGTGTTACGGTTTTATGTCAATTTGACTGGACCAAAATTCCCAGTGGTTTGGCAGTTAAGATGTGGCTATTGTCAAGGTGGCAGCTAATACAGTATAGTTAACTCAATGAGGGGCTATTAGCAGCCCATCAATTAAAGGTTGTTTCCTTGGAGGTATAGCCAGCTTCTAATCTAATGGGAACTCAGGCAAAGTTTACTTGCTTTTCTGCTGGGTCTGGATCTTGAATCTGTCTCATCTGGTTCTTTGGACCGGAGCCAGTGGCATGCTCTGTCATCTGCCTGCCTACATGCCAGACCTGCCTGTCAATCTTGATTTATCTACCCAGACTTGGGACTCTCCCAGCTCTGCAATTGTAAGCCATTTCACTGACTTAAATTTCCCAAATATATACATATATCTTGTTGCTATAAAGTGCCATCAAGTCGGTTCGGACACATAGTGACCCTATATAGGGTTTCCGAGGAGTAGCTGGTGAGCTTAAACCACAGACCTTGCAGTTCAAATGGTTTTGCAGTCTGGAGCATTAACCCACAGCACCACACCAGGATATATATACATATGTATGTATGTATGTATGTTTCATTGGAGCTCTTGGTGTGGTGCTGTGGGTTAATGCACTGATTGCAAGGTCAGTTGGAGCCACAAAATTGGCAGTCAAGCTCACCAGCCATTCCTTGGAAACCCTACACAGGGTTACTATGATTTGGAACTGACTCAACAGCAGTTAACAACAACATAAATTTCATCAGTTTTGCTACTCTAGAGAAGCCAGCCTAAGACAGCTACTAATTGGAAGGTTGGAGGTCTGAGTCCACCTAGGAGTCCTGGTGTGGCGCTGTGGCTTAATGCACCAGACTACATAGCCCTTTGAACGACAAGGTCGGTGGTTCAAGCTCACCAGTTGCTCCTTGTAAACCCTATACAGGGTTGCTATGGGTCAGAACTGACTCAACGGCACTTAACAACAGCAATAAGAAGCATCTTGGAAGAAAAGCCTGGTGATCTATTTCCAATAAATCAGCCATTGAAAGATAGGAATCAAACTGACAACAGCAACTCAAAAAATGAGTTAAGAAACTTAAAGCCAGTAAGTTTGTGTCAATGGGAGAGGAACAATTCAGAAAAGGAAGGGGAGAATGGTTATACAACTAAAAGAATATAATTAATGTTACTAACCTGGATATTTAAAAATTGAATTGAGGGAAAGGGGCTATGTGCTGACGGCTGTGGGGAAGGCTTGCAGGGTGTACCCTCTGGTTGTTTGAATGGTTATATATTCCTGAGTGCTTTGGTGTACATCCAAAAGAAAAAACACAGAGGGAATGGAAGCAAATGCTGTTGGATGATGATGAAGGGGATTGTAATCATTGCAATGAAACGAAATACAATAGGATGAGTGTAAAGCTGATGTTCTCCCATGTAAACTATCACTCAATTCACAATAAAAACTTAAAAAGAAAAATTGAATTGGTGTATGAGTCCTATAGTCTTAACAAAAATTAAGTAAAAACAGAAAAGGCAGGGAAAGTATGGAGCAGTTCTACTCTGATACACATGGAGTTGCCATTAAGTCAGAGTCTACTTAGTAACAACTTGTTTTCTGCACAAAAGGCTGGTTTTAAATCCTTGTCACTGATTTGCTACTTCTATAAATTAACCAAATCTCAGCTTCTTCACCTAAAACTAGTTGAGGACTAAAAAATAATAATCTTTGTATTTAGCAAGGTGCATGGAACATAGTATGAACTCAGTAAGTGGCAGGTGGACTGCCAGGGAAGACACAGCTAGTCTCAGCCCTTACTGCAAAAATAAACAAATCCAGGATGGAGTAATTTAAGACAGAACATTAGAAGTAATGATCATTTCAAAATAATTCTAAAAAACATTAGAAGTAATATATAGCACAGTATACATTATTACATATTTACAACTTCCAAAACTAAAATTATAAAGTTTGAAGATTCAGGGCAACCAGAAGTGCCTCAAAAGTCCTTTTAAATTTTTCCAGAAAGTTACAAGATTAAAAACTCTGCAAAATACAGTTCTACTCTGATAGTTAAGGTAATCATTAGTCAGAATACATTTAATAGCAAATGGTTTTTCATTTTTTCCTTAAGCAGTCCTTAACCAGAAATATATAGCAGAATGCCTCCGAGGTGGGTTTTTTTTTGGGTTTTTTTTTGTTTTTTGCCAAATTTACAAACCCAGGCTCTATTCCAAATTGATTCATGCTTCTAAGGACCAATTATGTATGTATGTACATATGTATGTATGATCTGTTGTTGCTGTTGTCATCAGTCATTTCCGACTCTTAGCAACTCTACGCACAACAGCACGAAATACTACCCAGTTCTGAGCCACATCGTCACAATTGTTAAGCCTGAGCCCATAGCTGTTGCCACTGTGTCAATCCATCTCCTTTGGGATCTTCCTCTTTTGCTGACCCTCCATTCTACCAAGAATGATGTCCTTTCTCCAGGGACTGGTCCCTCCTGATAACATGTCCAAAGGATAAGAGACAAAGTCTAACCATCTTGGCTTCTAAGAAACACTCTGACTGTACTTCTTTCAACACAGATTTGTTCTTCTGCCAGTTCATGGTATGTTTAATATTCTTCTCCAACACCGTAACTCAAATGCATCAACTCTTCTAAGGGTTTCCTGACTCAGCATCCAACTTTCACATGCATATAAGGCTACTGGAAATACCACGGTTTGATTTCTTGATTGCTACTTTTACTAGTGTTGATAGTAGACCCAAGTAAATTGACATCTTTGACAAATCTTTCTCCATTTACCATGCTGTTATATAATGGTTGAGTTGTGAGGATTTCTGTTTTCTTTACATTGAGGTGCAGCCCATACTTTTGATCTTTGATCTTTATCAGTATTTTAAGTATATCTAAACTATATTTGTTGTTAAGTGCTATAGAATAGATTGATTTACAGCAATCCTATATAGTATTTCCAAGGCTGTATGTCTTGTGGGAGCCTAAAGCCTCATCTTTCCCCTGCAGAGTGGCTGGTAGGTTCAAACCGCTAACTTTGTCAGTCCAGTACTTATCTTATGGAGCTACCATGCTACCCATTATCTAAATAGCCTATGTAATTAATAAAAGATTACCTTATCTAGTACTTAACAACAACAATCTAGTACTTAAAGTCCTGGCATGGTATTATAGGATAAGTAGGAGCTCTGGTAGTGTAGTGGTTACGAATCGGGCTGCAAACCCCAAGGTCAGCAGTTCAAAACTACCAGCTGTTCTGCGGGAGAAAGATGAGGCTTTCTGCTCCCATAAAGATTTACAGCCTCAGAAACCCCGTACAGGGTTGCTATGAGTCGGAACCTACTCCACAGCATATAACCACCAGCACCAGAGGACTGCTAACTGCAAGGCAGTGGTTCAAACACACCAGCTACTTCTTAGAAACCCTATACAAGGTCACTATGAGTCAGAACTGACTTGATGGCACTTAACATCTAGTACTTACAGATGCCAAAGTATCACTAAAAAGACTACAGTGGTCAACTTTAGATAGTCAAACTAAAATAACTTGATAGAATCAATACTAGTGAAAGCATCTACATAAAAATATTATTAGGTGCCATGGAGTAGATTCTGACCCACAGCAACCCCATGTGTCAGAGCAAAAATGCCCCATAGGATTTTCTACATAGTCATCGTTACAAGATTTATATCACCATCTCTTTCTCCACGAAGCAGCTGGGTGAGTCTAAACTGCCATATTTTTATTTGTAGATGAGCCCTTAACCAATGTGCCACCAGGGTTCCTTCTATAAACAAGACACCCCAATATTTACAGGTTTTCATTATTCAAATATGTAGCTCTGCAATATAAAAACTATTACTATCACCTCCCCAAGTGTCAGTCCTACTGATGTTTGTCTTAAAGAGAGCTGTAAGAGATCATCATTCAATTTTTAATTTCTCACTTTACAAAGGCTTAGACATTTTCAGCTTGGAAACACAAGACTTAATGCAGAACTTCTCAACCATGGCACTACTAACATTCTGAGCTGGAGAGGAAGAGACAGGCAGGATAATCCCATGCATTTGTAACATGTTTAGCAGCATCTCTGACTTATGCCAACTACATACCACTAGGATCCACCTTACTCCAGTTGTATCTCTGGATATCACCAAATGTGGGGTGAAGAGAGGGCAAAATGACTCCACAAGGAAAACTATTCTTCTAATCAGTTTTTCCTGCCTGGCTCTCTTCACATTATTTTCTCTATTTTCTGAGCTAATGAGTAATCTCAATTTCTTAGGAGGGGACAAAATTAACAAACCAATACCCTGTAAAAACTGGACTGCCTGTTTTTTATTGTTAAAAGAAAAAAGTACCACAAGTACTTTTCACTTAGCTGTCAACAACACCTTAATAGAACTGGGCTTGAATTCCCATTCAAGCACTTACCAGCAATGTGAGCTTGACCAAATGATTTAACCTCTCCAAGTCTGTTTCCTCATCTTCAACACGGAAAGAATATCGACTTTGCAGAGCTGCTATATTAGAAATAATTCAAGTAAGATAGTACTATGCATGACACATAGTAGGACTTCAAAAAATGAGTTATTATTATGACTATGAAACTTGACGGCAATAGAGGCTATAGTTATTGTTCACTCTTTGAAATGCATATATCAGTATTCCAACTTTATTGTATATTACAATTACTTGTGATGTTTGTTTAAAAATGAAGATGGCTGGACCCCATCCTCAAAGAGATCAAAGGACAACATAGAGAAAAATTGGCAAGGTATTTTTGATACTTGACTCTACTGTATTTTCATGCTTATGAAACTCTGCAACATTCTAGGACATAAGAAACAAGTCATTTGAAAGCAATTCAATCATATAAAATACAGAACAAAAACTACTTTAAAATGATGGCATTTTGACTATTTATTTCGATGGTCATTTTAAAAACAAAAGTTAAAGACAATCTGAGGAAAAATTGCACAGAATACACTCATTAAATAAGTATAGTGATTAAATCAAAATAAGGGAAATAAGTTCTCTTCGGCAACTCTGGAATTTAAGTTGTGTGGTCCTGAAGGTTCTCAGATTTCCAAAAGAGAGGGGAGAAATCATGGCAATTAAAACTGCCTCTTAATCATGTAAATCTAAAGTAGCAAACAATTTTTCTGTTCTTCCCAATAGGTCAGTTTCGATCTTCAAACTGTGCCTTGTTTTTTAAAAGATACGATGCTAGAAATTCAATGGGGTTTGGTGGTCTGCAAGGGAAAAGAAATCCAAAGTTTAGAAATTTACATTCTAGATGTGCTTATTTAAATGTATTTTTTAATGATTAAAACAAACCTTTTTATTTTTTAAGTTTCATTTTAAAGTAAAAGGCCACTGGTAGCAAATGTTATGATAAATGAGACAGGCAAGAAAGCCAGCCAGGAATATAGTTGAAAGAAATGAAAATTTTTATGACTTAAATCTGGTTATTATGCTTAGCTCTGTAACACAAGTTTCAAATATGTCTGACAAAAAAATAATGATTACTCAGAGAAAATGATGGCTTGAAGGGATCACAAAGGAGGTTTCTAGAGTAATGGCAATGTTTGGTTTATCAATCTGGATACAGTTTACATTAGTATATTTGCTTTGTAGAAATTCACCATGCTGCATACTTGTGGATTTGCATAATTTTCTGTATTTGGATTATCCTTTGATGAAGGTACAAAAACATATAGAACAATGGCTGTAGCATCATTGAGACATATAGATGAACTTCCCAAGTGGCTCATCAATGAAAGCAACACTCATGTGATAAATTCTAATACGTTTCTCTTGAAAGTCACATATCTTTCTTCAGATAATAGAAACCAACAATAATTCTAATGATCCCACCATATGATAAACCTGAGAAGCTAAAAATATTTACAAAATTGAGATAATATTTTATATCTTTACATTTGTCAATCATAATGTGATAGCTTACATGTTGCTGTGATGCTGGGAGCTATGCCATGGTATTTTTAATCACCTCATATGCATGTGAAAGCTGGACAATGAAGGAGGAGACTGGAGAAGAACTGATGCATCTGAATTATGATGCTGGAGAAGCGTATTAAAAAATACCATGGAATGCCAGAAGAATAAATCTGTCACGGAAGACGTATAACCCGTATGCCCCTTAAAAGAGAGCATGGTTGGACTTCGTCTCTCATAGTTTCAGCATGTATCAGAAGGGACTAGTTCCTGGAGGGAGCTCTGGTAGCATAGTAGTTATGAACTGGGCTGCTAATCTCAAGGTGAGCAGTTCAAAACTACTAGCAGTTACGTGGAAGACAATTGAGGCTTTCTGCTCCCATAAAGATTTACAGCCTCGGAAACCCTATGCAGGGTCGCCATGAGTCGGAACTGACTCCACGGCACAAAGCCACCACTACCACCATCACCAGTCCCTGGAGAAGGACATGGTACTTGGTAAAATGGAGGGTGGGTTAGAAAAGAGGAAGATCCCCAAAGAGATAGACTGGCAGCAACAATGGCTCAAATGTAAAATGACTGTGAGTGTGGTACAGGACCAGGCAGTGTTTCATTCTGTTGTACACAGGGTCACTTTAAGTTGGAGTCAACTCAACAGCATCTGAAACATTTCATATCTATCACTTTTATATTATATGAATTATTCTTGATAAAAAGACAAGTTAAAAGACAAAAGTTAGAGAAAAGATCTATTTCAAACTCTACTTTGAAAAAGTACAATGAAAATTGATAAAACATTCCTTTGCTATTTTAAACAGTTCTTTAAGCTGGCTACATATAGGTATTTCTCAAATAATTGATAGAGTTAATGACAAATTATGTGTCCAGACTCTAGTTTTAAAAAGAATTTGCTAAATAAATTAAAAAGTATATTACACAAAATGTTTTCCATTTGTTTTCTTTCAGAATTTAAGGTATTATTTACTATTTCTAAAGAACTGCCTTCTTTAAAGAAAGAAAATAAACAGAATCAGGAAGATAAAAGATGCCCATATTGTAGCAGTCAATAATGTGGACAAAATAAACTTTGCAGACATAAATAGATGCTACTTTATAAATGTAACATTCAAACATAAATATTGTTTATTCATTTAATTTTTACATAATAAAAAATATACTCTAAATCTATCATTTTTACCTTAAGACTATTTGTATCAATTTTTTATTATCAATTTGTCAATTTGTTACAATGTTCAGAATTATCCTTCAAACATGGTATGTGCCCTAATAAATGTTAACAACCTAATTTATAAAAAAAAATTTATTGGATTTACCTATACAAAAATAATTTAAGAGTTACTTTGGAAAAACATGTAGAGAAAAGAGAAATAACAGTAATCTTGCTCATGAAGACATATAAATCAAAACACCTTGTCAAAAAGGCTTCTAATATTCCATGCCATGGAGGCTATGGTTACACTGGGAAAATTTTAAGACAACGTTTTGGACAGAAATATAACATACTATGTTAAACACCAGAAAAGCCATATCCTTTAAACTAGTAAGATAATTCAAGGAATTTATCATACAAAAGTAATTTAAAAAGCAAAGTTAGAGGGAGGAAAATAACCGGTGACTTATAATAATAAAAGGAGCACTGGTGGCGCTGTAAGATAAGCACTGTGCCACTAATCACAAGCTTGCCAGTTCAAATCCACCAGCCGCTCTGAAGAAGAAAGATGAGACTTTCTGCACCCAAAAAGGTTTACAACCCTTACATGGGTTCACAATGAGTCAGTATGGATTCTGTGCAAGTGGCTTTGGAATTTTATAATAACAAAGGAAACTGGACTTAAATGCTTAACAATGAGAATATGATACTACTATAATTTAAATTATAATTACAAAAACAGTAGAAAAATATGGAAAGTTTTGTTAAAATACTAAAGGGAGACAAAAATTACATGCATATCATGATTATGAATCTTTATTACAAATTTTGATTTAAGACTAGTAGAAAACAAGGAAAATTTCTGAGTTGTGAGATTATAGTTGATTTTTTAAAATTAATATCCATAAAGTACTGCTACTGCAAACCAATAAATAATTATTGATGTTTCATATTATTTTGCTCTCTATGGTAGCTATACTTGCAGATACTATTATCTTACCTCTCCTTTGCAAGCACAGCAAGTCCCTGTAATAAGATAGGCACAACTGTCTGATCCAGGTATGCACGAGTTGGCAAAGACTGGAGGTCCACCTTCTGTTTAGATGTCTTTTCTGCATTAATCTTCTCATTTTCTACTATCCTCTAGTGAATTCAAAAAACAATGCATGAACATCCTAAGTATGCAGATTATGCTGAGTACTAAATAAAAATTAATGGAAACATGACATACAGATGGCAAATCAATTATTAGAAAACTGGCATTGGTCTGCAAACCTCTCCACCAAAAGAACAAATTCAGGCCCATTTTTAAACTTTGCATTCAAGCCTCTCTCCTAGGCATAATGTTTTAATATCAGCTCTCCAAATCCTATTCTTTAGCCCTTACCATTTGTCATTTTAGAAGAATTAAGAACCCCCTTTTTTCATTTTCTTATATTCCACAAAACCCAAGACATAATGTTAAATAACAATGAATTATAACAAGACATCCAAGCCAAAGAAATCACTTTGAGGACTACAGAGCACCTGACCCAAGCCATGGTATTTTCAGTCACCTCATATACATGTGAAAACTGAGTAATAAGCAGGAAAACTGAAGAAGAATCGATGACTTTGGTGTTGGAGAAGAATATAGACTACCATGACTGACAGAAAAACAAGCAAATCTTACAAGATGCAAAGTCAGAATGCTCCTTAGAAGCAAAGATAGGGTGACTTGGTCTCACATAGGATAGACCAACTTCCTAGAGAAGGGTATCGTACTTGGTATAGTGGTGTTTGGTGGTTATGTGCCATGGAGTCGGTTCCAACTCATAGTGACCCTGTACAGCGTTTCCAAGGCTGTAAATCTCTACGGAAGCAGAAAGCCTCATCTTGCTCCTGTGGAAAATCTGGTAGTTTCAAACTGCTGACCTTGGGGTTTGCAGCCTGATTCGTAACCACTATGCTCCCAGAGCTCCTTACTTGGTATAGTGCAACACTACCAGGTGCTATACCATCCCCACATCCTTATTATACTTGGTACAGTAGATCAGTGTAAACGAGAAAGACCCTGAACAAGATGGATTGACACAGTGGTTGCGACAACAGGCTCAAAGAGAGCAACAATTGTGAAGATGGTACAGCACCTGGTAGTGCTGCACATGGGATTGCTGTAAGTCAGAACCTATTTATCAGCACCTAACAACATTTCAACTATTTGCTCACATACAAGTATAACATCAAAGATAATCGTAATAATGGTATAAATACACAGAACTTCAAAAAGTTCATAGAAAACTTAAATTAGAAGAAATGAAATTTTCCCAAGGACTTTTTGAACACTTCCCACTTTCCCGCTTAAGTCTCTAACATCTTTGTAACACCTGCTAAGTCCCTTCTTAACAAAGAGCACAGGCTTCAGGCTCAGAGCATTCCATGGCACTAAGAATCTAGCTAAAATTTACTGTCACTGCTTTGTATTCATTGTTTTTAATTTTTGTGGTTATTTTTGATCTATCAGGAAAGTGACTTTACATTTGTGACTCCCTGATTTTAAAAGATAAATAGATCACAAGTAAAATACTAAATAAATAATAGCAAAAATGAGGGACATTATTAACATGAAACAAATAATTAATGTGATACTTGAATGAATGAAGTTCAATTAAATGATTTATGCATTCTTTTACTAACCAGCCCCAAATTTTGGGAATTTCACATAGCATGATAAAACTACCTCACTAACTTATAACAAGATGGTGCACTAGATAGACATGCTAAATAGACTACATAAACCCACTACTACAAAGACACGAGAGAACAAATGAAACAGATCCAAATGATAATCCCATAACTGTAAACTTCAGAGGAAAAGCTAAAGAAGTGCATGAATAATGACTAGGAGAAAAAGTTGAAGAATATTGGCAATAAGTAGACAGATATTTAAACATTTATATATTACTATGTGGTTTCACTTTTGTTTTTTACATTAAAAAAAAAAAGAGGGGGGTTATCTTGATTAAAAAAAAAAACAATCTATGATGGTTTTGTGGGGAGGAGGAAATGATACATGTGCTACAGGGTAGACACGCATTGACATGGGTGACAGGGCAGGCAATGTACAACTGGAGGGAGGCTGGCAGAGGAAAGATGGGGGTGGTGGCAGACCCAAGGAGGAAAGCAGTGCTTAAAATGAATAGAGGCAAATGCTGGTAACTATAAGTGTACGCAACTATGTAATGAAACAAAGTATATGACTTGTTGAATGTAAAACTGTTGAGCTGCTCTGTAAACCTTCACTCAATTCACAATATTAAAAAAAGGGGGGTAGAAATGAAACAGATCAGTGAACTGTCAGCCAGCCTGATGGGGCTCAGCAATTTTGAACTTCTGCAAGGAACATTGTATCAAGAGTGGCCTGTCACAAAAACAAACTGGGCTGGTGATGAAAATGTGGGCTCTTCCCTTATTCTCAACACCCTTCTGGTGACCAGAATCTTGGACAGCACCTACCCTCCCCACCCAATAGCCTGTGATATTCCCTGTCCTACACAGCCCCTGCTCTGCCAAAGGTCAGTGCAGTGTCCTCATGGAACAGGAGCTGGGTGCGCACACTTCTCTCTACACCCCACACCACCCATCCTCATCTGTTGGAAGCCTGAACTCTACCTCATCACATCAGGAAAAAGCAGTGTTGGCTATGGGTCAAGAACTCTTTCCATAACCAGCTGCCCTGTTCCCTTCTGACCTCTGGGGCCAAAAGAGTTTCTTAGGGGAACAAAAACCCTGACCTGAGTTACTTTCTGAGCCAGCAAAACCTACTTCTGCCTCATGTCCTCTGACCCCAGACAACATCTAGGTCTACAGGAACTCTGTCTAGGATCAGGCATCCCAGACTCCTTTTCTCCATGCCCCAAACCCACCCCCACACGCATACACACACCAAGAGCTCCTTAGCTGGCTGAGGGTGCCAACCCATACATCATGACATGCCCCCTCTCCTAGTTTTTACCTCTCTGGGTCATGTCCCACTTTTCTTTTCTCCTGTCTTTGTTTTTCTTTACTTTACTTTCCCTTGTTTTTTGTATTTTATTTTCCTGCTTTCCTTTTTTGTTTTTCTTGTTTCTCTTTTTCCTTTCTTTCTTCTTTATCATTTCTCTTCATTTTCTTCTTTAATATTCTTTCTCCTCTTTTCCCTCACTCACTAGTTTTGCTTACTATATTTTCTTTCTTCTCTTCCCTTGTTATTTTACTTTCTTTTATTTAGTAAATGTTCTTTTTTTTCCTTGCTGTTGTTTGTTTGCTGTCCCTTCCACTTGATTTTATTTATTTTCTTTTATGCTATTTATTTTTTATCCTTGTCCCACCCAACAAGGGGCAGCAACTTTACATATACAGCCAAGTAACACCCATAACTTTTTCAACCCACTATCTGGTAAAAACCCACTATCTACTCCTATGCCACCTAATTGTCCATAGGCAGCAGCCAACACCAACCAAACATCCTCAACTATACTAAACAAACAAGGAACAGAGAACTGCATACACACTCAAATTCTTTATCACACCTACCAGGAGACAGTGGTGAGTAAGAATATACCAACATAAAATCATCAATTAATTACAAATACAAAAACACCACAATGTCTCAGAGAAAACAGACAATTTCAGTTATCACTAAGAAAAAGACAGACTGGCTAAAAACAAGTGACCAAAATACACCTGCACATCAAAATAAAAAGGAAAATCGGAAAGATTTAGCAAACATTAACACAAGAGAAACGAAATGAAAAAAAAACCACAAACAAAATGAACTCAGTGCAGAAAATTACGTGACACAAAGAAACCAGCAGCACTAGGAAAAAAAAAACAACAGTAAAATGACAGCAATCAATTCATGCCTATTGATAATTACACTGAATATAAATGGATTAACTGTTACCAGTCAAGAGGCAGAAAGCCAAATGGATAAGAAAACATGATCCTTCAATCAGCTGTCTACAAGAGACACATAAAAAAAAACAAAAACAAAATGAGATAGCCTAAATGTCTATCAACAGAATGTTTAAATAAACTTTGATACATACACATAATAGAACACTACACAATGTTGAAGAATAGCAATGAATCTACAAAGCATCTCACAAAATGGATGAACCTGGATGATTCATGAAATTAATCCTGAGTGAAATTAGTCAACTACAAAATGGCAGATATTGTTGAGATGAATGTTGTAAAAAGTTAAGAAAAGGTTTTCTTAATAAAAGAAACCAAAGAAAAGGTTTTCTTAATAAAAGAAACCAAAGAAAAGGTTTTCTTAATAAAAGAAACCATCTATAATGGTTATGGGGGCAGTTGTGAAGGTAAAACTATTCACAAACATGCATGGCAGGACAGGCAAATACAACAAGAGGGAGGCTAGCAGTGGAATGATGAAGGTAATGGGAGACATAGGGAAGAATGCATTAACTAAAGTAAATAGAGGTAAATACTGTTAACTGAATGTAAAACTAATGAGCTGCTCTGTAAACCTTCACTCAATTCATAATAAAAAGTAAAAAAAAACAACAACAAGGAAAACAGACAAAATTTCAAAATTTTAGAAGAATTAAAGACTATAAGAATAAACTGACAAAATTAATAAAAAATTAGAAATCATACAAAAACAGCAAAAAGAAAGGCAGAAGATTAACACTAACATTTCAGAAATAGATGGATACATTGAAAAGACAAAGCAGTAGAACTGAATCAACAGAAGGGTGGATTAGTGAGACTGAAGGCAACTCTCTCAATTCTAATCTGATACAGGAACAATCAGAAAAGAATTTTAAGGTCCAAAGCAATCATAAGAATTATGTGGGACACCATCAAGAATTACTTACATGTGGTTGGTACGCTAATACTAGAAAGGAAAAACCAAAACTGTCAAAGTGGTTGGAAGAATATTTCATGAAAGATGAAAACATATACATTCAAGAAGCTGAAGGTGCTTCAAACTGGACAGATTCCAAAATAAAACCACTATGACATATGATAATCAAACTCTCCAAAACCAAAGACAAGGAAAGAATCCTGAGAACAGCTAAAAAAGAAAAAGTAACCTATAAAGGAGAACCAGTATTCTCAGCAAAAACCATGTGAGCAAAAAGGCAATGGGATGA